TTCATGATCTAAGAGGGGATTGAAAGGATCTAGATAACCTCCATTTTGTTGATGTACGCCATTTTAAGTATTAAGTTAGGTTTTTGCAGATATATTAGTAGTTTAATGAAACTGTTTCAGCTTATAAACAATGATAAGACGACTCTGACATTGTCATTGCCGGCTATTTTCTCAGAAAGCTAGCAAAAACATTTTATACCAAGAAATGTATATGTCATGTTTCATGTAGTTAGCTCATGATGGAAACTTACAAGTTACAGTTTTGAAACTCGCTCCCCCCTCCCTTATTTTTTCTGTATCCTATATAATCTTAGTACTGTCTAATAAACTTTGAACATCTCTGAACATAAGCTGCCGTTATTTCCGTGTTCAAGGGGTGTTCCCAGAATTCTGCTGATAAACCAGGAATCTCTCCACAGACCGGGGGTCTCTGAGGGGATAAGAAAATCATCCTTTCAGCCACCACATCTAAGAATTGGTAAGCTGCAAAAATAATAAATGTTTGCTTTTGAATTTCATTCTGCTTTAAGTTAGTTTTTTGGTGGTTTTTAAGGGTGCAATGGGAAAAAAAATGTTTTTTTAATGTTGCTTTCTTTTTTTTTTTTTTACTTTTTTGTAAAAAAAATAAGATAATGAGACTAACAAGAGGCCATTTGGTTTCCAGCTGGGGATAGCTGCAACTCTTCTGTAACCCCAGGGGCTAATTAAAGCCCACTGTCACATTAGAAACTGCAAAAACCACCTTAATTTCACTTTCCCATTGACATCAATGCATTTTGCAAAAATGATGAAGAGGGTTGGCCCAAAAACTGGAGAGTGCAAAATCTGGAGCAGCTCTGCAGAGAAATCAATCAGCCTCCAGGTTTTATTGTCAAAGATATACTGAAATTAGAAGCTAGTTACACATATGGGAGAAACATTTTTTTTTTTTAATTCAGCCCACAAATAGCCTCTACCTCCAAGTCAATGTGACAGGCATCAATAAAAAAAATGTTTTGACTGAAGTTCCACTTTAAAAAATGACAGTACTCCTTTCACAACAGAACGCAGAAGTTATGAACTTATTCTTGAACTTACCATATGACATGGGCCATGCTTAATTTAGCAGCCAGAAATCATATGATGAAATACAGGAAAACGATGTTATTTTAGTTGTCACAAATCTATATGTCTAGACTTGATAAAAAAAAATAATTATATTTACATTGGTTTTTAGGACACCATTCCCAGAGCACATAATTATTACGCTGTGCACAAGTAATAAACTCATTTTAGATGCCACTCTGTACTAGGCATAAAATAATTATAAACCCAATAACAATTTCAGACCTTCTATAATAAGATTTTTTTCAAAGTCAATTGATAAAATTGTCTGCAAGAATACGATCCAGGAAGATACTGCGGCCAAAAAATTCTGTTTGTATCTGAAATTAGGACGAGAAGTCCAGGGTTTATTGAATTATCTGTATTATAGGAGGTGTTAATTTCATATGAGCGGTATGCTATGTCTGTGGATTATTTCCTGTTCTAGTTAAATAAAATATTCTTCGCATTCCAAAAAAGACAGATCTGAATCACGTACGGACACGATCAAAATGCACACTTTTTTTTGCAGACTTTCTAAATTTAGCCCAGACTAAAATCTGCAGTAGGTTGCCTTGGTAAGGGTTGCTATGGCTGCAGGGATACAAAGCTTCAGCCTAAATAAGTCTGCAGAAAGAAATCTTTCACTTGGAAAAGTCATTCATGACAAGTTCGGAAAAGGAAGCCTTCGGCTTTAGAGGAAGATAAAAATTTACGTCTTGTTCCTTTGTACTCTTTATGAATGATCATTCAATATGAACGATTTTGAAGGAAGGGACCATCCAGTAACATCTTGCTCCTCATGAGTGCAACTGGCCAGAAATATGATCAACAGTTGGCAATTCATAACGGATCAGATGAATTCCCTGGGAGCGGAATTACCTAGCAATCTGCCCAACTAGCTGATTTGTTATCACTGAAATAACGAAGAGGTCTCTGAGATTCTCCACTATCTCAATAAAATGACTACTACATTTTGGAAGACAATGGGGTTGATTCACTAAAGGTAAATATACCGTGCACTGCAAGTGTTGTTGCTTTATATCTGAGGGAAAGCTCTGAATAAGGCGAAGCTCTGCTGCTTTCTTTCATCCAATCATGTGCAAGCAAAAATGCTGTTTTTTTTATTTTCCTTGCATGTTCCCCTCAGATCTAGAGCAACTGCACTTGTAGTGGACAGCCTATTTGCCTTTAGTAAACCAACCCCAATGTGTCCATGTTTTGACTATTGTCCAAAGAGGGACTAGAGAAGCTTGTAAAAAATGGAAATATAATACGAATTTTCACTGCAGCATTTTAATAAACACAAGGCATGGATTGATTGATTGATTGACATAATGATCAAAATAAGGACCGGTTGTGAATGTTAAAGTGTATCTATAGTCAACCCTTTTTTGGTTTAAGATGGGGTGGAAAGATTAGAACCCCTGTCAGTCTTACTAAGTAGTAGGAACCCCTATGCTAAATGTCCCAAGGACAAACTTTTCACCAGACAGAAAGTGAAGGATGCTCTACAACAGCAATATAGCCAAAGTAAAAAAGTTTTTTTAAGCTAAAGCGGAACTAAACTTAAAAAAAACTAAAGAATTCAAACAGGCAGGTACTTTATTGCAGAAGAGACATGCTACGGGGTTGACTTACTAAAGATAAATATAGTGTGCACTGCAAGTACAGTTGCTTTATATCCAAGGGGAAGCTCTGAAATGAGGTGGAGCTCTGCTGATTTCTTTCAGCCAAGAAAAAAATGCTGTTAGTTTCTTTTCTTTGCATGTTCCCCTCAGATCTAGAGCAACTGCACTTTCAGTGCACTTCCAAGTGCACTTGGAGTGCACATGCGTGGGAGCAATATCATCCTGAACTGGCCAATCAAGGCAACTGAAGACCTGTGTTGGTGAGGGATTTTGCAGGCATCGGATTGTTGGAACTAAGGTAAGTATTTTTACTTTTAGTTACGCTTTAAGTTGGAGAATGCTAGGACCCTTGTTGGTTTTCAATTGTTGTCTGTTTCCGTGTTGCACATTTTCCCTCACTTTGGTAAAATGTTCATCATGGGTAAAACTGGGGAATGTTCCTACTGCATCATATCAGCAGGGCCCCTCAACAGATCATCTCATCTCTGATGTGTTGTAAAGGAGGAGCGACCACACAGGTACTATCTCTTTTTAAATTTTCTGCATGCGTAGAACAGTTAAAAACATGGGCACCTCATTAATAGTACATTTGTCTTTCAAGTAAATGGTTGTAACTTTTCTGAAAATTTATCAAAAAAGTAATCCAGACAATTTAACTTCAAAAAATGTTCCCCAATTAGATACTTCCTTAAAATGTACATTATCTAAGCCACTGGTTCTAAACCATTTTGAGTCCAGAGCCCGGTAAATTCTATGAAAAACTTCCATGCCCCAACAATTAAAAATAAAGTTTATACTTAAACAATAAAATAATGGAAATGTAAAACACTAAAAGGCTCTTGATGGGGATGGGGTCAAAGTGAGGGATGGAGGTTCTAGACAGAGTTTGGGGACTCTGCGGCAGACTTCTTGGCCCTGTAAGGGATGAGGTTTCTGGAGGGGGCTAGAGATAACTATGGGGTTTGGGGAGCACTGTGAGACACTGTTGAAATGTAAGGGCACTGTATAGGGCTGGCGGCTCTGCAGCAGGCTGGTGGCATGGTGGGAGGCTTGGTGGCACTATGGGAGGTTAGGAGGTACTGTGGATGCTGAGGGCTTTCAGGGGGTCTGAGGGCACTGTGGACCACTATAAGAGGTTGAGGGATAAAATGGAAGCTGGGAGGCACTGTGGGAGGTTAAAGGATCTGCAGCTTGCTGGAAGCCCAGGAGAGAGGAGGATGCAACTTGGCAGTGAGCCACAGCCTGGTAGTTGACAAGCAAAGGTCCTTTATTAGATACTAATTTATAATCAGATTTAAAGGTTTACCAGTACCCACCCTTCTGTTACTACTGGAAAATTAAAAGATGTTTTCCAGAGGTGAGTACTGGGGAATGTTACATTCTTTACATAGTTAATAGTTCTTCCTATACTGCACCTCCCTTGTTGGTACAAATTGATGGAGCTTTAACCATTTTCTTTTCTTGCTGTGCTGGCTGCATACACATGTAAGGTCTGCAGCTGCCTTTAGCAAGTTTGGCCCTTGTATGTCGTTCTGACTTTGAGAAGGGGTAACCTCTAGGTAAGCCTGTTCTCAATGTATTCCTTGTTATATATAACTCGTTATAAGTGCTTTCATAGATTGGAGCAGGGACTGCAAATACTGTATATGCAAACTGAGATTGTAACCTTTATTGAAATGTAAATTTAAAAACAGTTTTCACATTTTATTTAATTTGCTTGCTAACTTGGGTGAATTTTTCTATTTTTATGTATAATGATAAGATTTTTTACACATACTTTTACTACAATTAAATCATATGTTGTAATGATAGCACAAAAACATTCCTTTATATTTTTTTTTACCCAGTTGTATACAGCAATGACTCCCTGCATATGTTAAACTATGTGTGTAGAACCTGCTAACTGAATTATTCAATACCAGTTGTATATATTTTTTACCCCTGATTAAGATGGCGGAGATCCAAAAAACACACTGGTTTCTCTGAAATCTTATACATACTTTTACCCAATGACCACGGTCTACTAGACAAAAGTGCTGTTTTATCGTTATTTTCACCCAGAAGTTATGAAACATGAGAAAAAGTTGTCTCTATACTGTTTAGCAAGCAGCCTGGTATTTCTTTTTGATTAGATTAGAGCCTGCGGCCCCAAGTACCTTTTCTCATCTATAACAAAGCGCTAGGCAACATCTGAATATCAGTTTATATCAATACCGTACTGCGTACCATATTATTACTCCAAGTCCACGCCATGTATAAAGATCGAAATGTATAGATCTCTCTTACCTCGATAGGATAAGCTTCTTTTGGTGATTGTTAACTTGTCAGGACACACAGCTTCTTCAAACTGGGGGACAGAAGGCTTGGTGAAAACAGAGCTGTAACCCCCAATTTCAGTAAACAGTGGCTTCTGTTCATTAATGGAGGAGACCAGCGATGACAACCCACTTCTCTTTTTGTCTGCATTTGTTTTGTTGTAGACACAATGTCTGAGATCATCCAGAGAATTTTCTGAACCATCCTGGCTGTTGTCTTTGCTGCAATCTACAGATAGGAGAACCAGTAAAGAGGTGGTTATATCTACTGTATAGTATTGTGGCAGACATACTAACATAGCAAAGACAAAATGCGTGAAAACAGTGAATGTACTTTTTTTTTTTCAATTAGCCTATTTTACAGAATTTGGAGTATTATACTTAATGAGGGTTTGCCACTTCTAAATTATTTTATTCCTCAGTCAGCTTGCTGAAGTTAATGTATATTAACATAACATATACAGTATGTAGAGTACAGAAAATAACATTACATTTTAGGTTCAGACTTTATTTCAGGGTGGTCTCTGCTTGCTCATATTACTGGCCTAGCACTAGCAAATTCCTATTCTACATTACCGGGGGCCCCATGAGTTGTCAGTCCGCCCCTGGTGGTCATACACGCAATGATGAAATTGTGTGATTCTTCAAAGAATCAGATAATAAGATTGTATCAAGCAATTATTGAAAGGTAACATGTTTCATTATTGACCAATCCCAATGTAAACCAAATCGATCAAATGTAATTTCCATTGGTTCTGGCAGAAAATATGATTGTATTAAACACCAATATTAATAAAATTGCTGTGTGTATGGTCCACCAAAAGATCTTTTCATTCAAGGGAACTATTGGAACGCTCCAATAGTTCCTCAATAGTTGCTCAAGTGAATGAAAGTTTATATGTATGTATGTAGCAAGTAAATGAATAAACTTGCCAGTAATGCTATTAATAGGCTGCAGCTAAAGGGAGCTTTAATGATTTGCAGTGTGACTCCAGGAGACTAATACCAACAAACTTATATTAAACACTGCAAGTGAGCAACACGTGTTTTGGCTCTCATTTTTTATACAGGTTTGTCACACTTTGTTTATACTATCTGTTCAGTTTTTTGTTTGTTCTGACATTCCCTTTCACTGTTCAATAAACTATATGTTAGTAATGGCAATTCTCTAATACAAATTGATGCGCTTTTCCATTTAGCCTCTGCTGCCACTATAAAGAGATTAATTATCTGTATAATGTGATCCAATTCTGTTGAACACATTAAACTCAGAATGCAAGTGAGAAACACATGTTTGGTGCTCTCCTCTTTGATGCAGATACTGCAGGCTGCATCTTTGTAGTAACTCACACTCAGATCACAGATAATCCGGTAACATATATATATATATATATATATATATATATATATATGTATATCTGTTTCATAGGTTTCAAGCAATTTAAAGTAAACATACAATCAGATTGGTCGATAAACTGCAGGCTGTGTATGGTGGATTGCTGATTTGTCTGAGTTTAACCCTTTAAGGTTTTCAGAAGCCGGGAGGCGGGGCAGGGTTTTAGGGTCATGTGACCGCCGTGATTTGCCGTGGGAAAGGTCCCGATCGAAAGAGGAGATTGGGACCTTTCCGTGAGTACCGGACATGTGTGTTGGGAGCGCGCAGGGCGCGCGCTCTCAGCACACATGTTTTTCTTAATTGCACGCAACTGTGCGGCCGCTCGGCATCAAGGCCCAGACGCCGAGAGGCTGCACATTTGCGTGCGGCCGGCAAGAGGTTAAGTGGAGTTCATGGAAAGCAGTGGAAGCTCAAAGAGTAAAAAGCATGAATTAAAAACGGTATCCTAAATGTTGAAACTGCTTTAAATTTGTTTGCGAAGTCCCCCTTTTGTATTTCCTGTGATGTAATTTCAAATAAAGCCAGACAGGAAAAAGAAAACCCTCCGCCAGGGTATTTCAAAAGCATGTGCATAATGCGTGAGCACCAGAATTACAAATCCTTTCCCAAAGGCAAAAACAAAAGCCAAAACCACTCCAATGCCACCCTGTAACCAGGGGAAGTCAGGATGCAAAGCAAACAGAAAAGTGTCATAGGAAGTGTAATCTCAAGGGATATAAAAATTGTGATAATCGTCCTGCACAGCTATCACAATAAATATCTGCTATCTAAGCAAACCAGCACTCCTCTATGATTCACACACTAAATAACAATATAGATCAAATGAATGCAGTGCTACAGAACATGTATATTAAATCACTCAAGCCTAAATGTGATACATAATTTAAACCAAATGCTAATAAAGTGTTCCAAATGATACATAATTACTATGCCAAAATATAATTATACAGTGCTCTGTGCTTAATGTGAGACAAATCAATCGCCCACAAATCAATCCTGATCTTGTAAACAGCAATAGTGCTTCTTCTGCTAGAAAATGATAAACCACTGTTTTTTTACACACACTTCATATTAGTGGAATTATATTCCATCTTGCATGCCTCCAACTTTCAATTTAACCACTTCAGTACTGGGCAGTTTCATCCCCTTCCTGCATAAGTCAATTTTCTGCTTCCAGCGCTGTCACACTTTTAACCGCTAGCCTACAGGGCACTTATACCCCCTTCCTGCCCAGGCCAATTTCCAGCTTTCAGCGCTGTCACACTTTGAATGACAATTGCGCGGTCATGCAACACTGTACCAATATGACATTTTTATCATTTTTTTGTGACAGATAGAGCTTTATTTTGGTGGTATTTAATCACCTCTGCGCTTTTTATTTTTTCTTAAACAAACCAAAAACCGGTGAAAATTTTGAAAAAAAAAAAGTTTTTTCTTAGTTTTTGTTGTAAAACTTTGTAAATAAGTGATTTTTCTCCTTCACTGATGTGTGCTAATGAGGCTGCAGTGATGGGCACTGTTAGGCTGCTCTGATGGACACTGATAGGTGGTACTGATGGGCACTGATGAGGAGGCACTGGTAGGTTGCACTGATGGGCATTGACAGGCATCACAGATGGGCACTGAAAAGCAGCACTGATAGGCGGCACCGGCTGGCACTGATAGGCAGCACTGACTGGCACTGATAGGTGGCACTGATTGGCAGCACTGATAGGTGGCACTGATTGACATTGATAGGTGGCACTGACTGGCACTGATGAGTGACACTGAAAAGCAGCTCAGATGGGCACTGATATGTGGCATTGATGTGGCACTGGCACATGGCACTGTTCAGGACTGACAGCTGGCACTGATGGACACTGACAGGTGGCACTTCTGGGGCTACACTGATCATCAGGGCACACTGATCATCAGTGCCCTGATAATCAGTGTACATGTTCCCTCCACGGAATGCTGATTACCGGCTCTGCTCTCCTCTCAAGCTGTCAGCGTGACAGCTCGTGAGGAGAGAAATGCAGATAACCAGCATTTTCCTGTTCACATGTGATCAGCTGTGATTGGACACAGCTGATCACATGACTGAGCTGACATCTTTGGCTCTTTCCGTAGATCGGTGATCTGCTGTGTCCGAGGGACACAGCACACCGCCGATCGTCGCACTGCACGCTCCCTGAGCCGCACATGCGCGGTGAGAATGGGAGGACGTCATATGACAGGTGGCCTCCCAGAACGAGAGAACCACCTTGTGCCTGTCATTGGACTATATGGCGGGCAGGAGGTGGTTAATGACAATTGCGTGGCCATACAACACTGTACCTATATGACATCTTTATCATTTTTTTTCACTTCAAATAGTGCTTTCTTCTGGTGGTATTTAATCACCACTGTTTTTTAATTTTGTTACTAAATAAATGGAAAAAGACCAACATAAAAAAAAAAGTGTTTTCTTTGTTTCTGTTATAAAATCTTTCTTCATAAATTTAAGCCTGCTACATTTCTTTGTTGAAATGAAACCAAATCAGTGTATATTGATCTGTAGGCAAGTTTTGGGGTCTACAAACGAGGCTATATATCTGAAAATCAATCAATCCTAATGTACTGAGGCCGAACAAAGTTAGGACAGTACAAACACCCCCCAAATGACTCCTTTTTGAAAAGTAGACAGTCCAAGGTATTTAGTAAGAGGTATGGCAAGGGGGGCAAGTTTTCCCCTGTGACGAGAGCAATACAGAGTTACCATAGTAACATTGTACTACTCTGGGGAAGTGATCAGGATCACATTAATCACATTATGATTGCTCATACCAGTGAATTTCACTGGTATAAGCAACCATTTTTACTGAATGAAATTGATTAATTCAGTGTGTATTGTTGTGATTTGCGGTGGACACAGGCGGTGACAGATGTGGCGCATTTCAGGAGGGCGTCATTTTACAATAGGCGGGGTGGGAAGTGGTTAATATACTCCTTCCAGTCCCTCTGCTCCCTTAATCTCTTCTTTAACACCTTGTGTGCTGAAAGACACCAGAGGTGTGTACTCACCTTTTTAGTTTGATTTCTTTTTTTTTACAAGGTCTATACTCTCTTTTGCCCATCTCAGGGGTTAATTGTTCCTTGTTCCATCTGTACTTCTCTAAGCAATTACTGTTAGTTTTCCCAAGTATTTCGCTTAAAACAAATCATATAGCAAATCTATAGTTCTTTGCATAAAATATTCCTTTATTAAAAACAAAAGAAAGAAACACATTGCGCAGTGCACAACAGTTTGTGCACTAAGACTGTATGTTTGTTTTATCCTGTTACTGGCTCTAGCTTTGGGTTCAGACACCACTGCTGCTGTATAATTCAGTGCACATCCTGCCTCCTCCTACACAAGTGATGACATCACCTTGACTCCGTCCTTTGCATTATGTTCATAGACTTCATCAGGGGCTTAGAGTCAAGTGATGTCTAGGCTCTATTTATTGCCCTGTTTGTGTATAGTTCCCATAGCAACCATTTCCTTTGTATCCTCTTATTTATTCTGCAGGACTGTCTACATACTGTACTAGATTGTAATTATCTCAAGTTGAACATATAACTTTATTATTATTATTATACAGTATTTATATAGCACCAACAGTTTGCTCAGCGCTGTACATTACAATGGGAGACAGTACACAAGACAGTACAGTAACAATACAATTCGATACACGAGGGGTTCGAGAGCTTATAAAAGATCTGCTACTTCGCTCTATCTATTATTCCGTACAATTTGATATTCCCAGTATATTTGTTCCTATACTCCATATGATCATTGTCTATCACTGTTACAGCTACACCTTTCTACATAT